TTTTTTCTGGGTTTTCTAAATTTTTGGAAGGTGTACTTACTGCTGTTGAAGTACCCTACCAGCGTGCTTACCCTTCGCTGTCCAGGTCGTCGCCCGCGCGGCGGCGCCCCCACATGCGGCAGTCGTTGCGGACGGTCTCGATGAAGTACTCGATGGCGCGCCGGTGCGAGCAGGACAGCATGTCCCCGAGCACTGGAGGGGCAGGGTAGCGTCAGAGAGGGACTTTACCTAGCCGGGTCCAGCCAGGGCGCCGGGGGCAGTGCAGTACGTACCGCTGACGGGGATGGCCGCCAGGTCCATGATGGACTGCACGGGCGGCAGCTTGGGGACGAAGCAGCCGGGCTGCACCGTGCCGCCGTTCAGGTAGAAGTCCACGTCACCTGGAAGACAAACAGCGTCGAAGCCTGGAGTCTGGGCTCCGATACCCCGCGCTACCGGAGGGCGACGCGGGGTATCCACACCACGATGTGGTGGGAGAGGTGGGGATGTCGGGAGACGGGTGGGCCGAGCTATAGGGCCGCGGGCACCGCGGGTCCGCTGGTCGACAGCGATGCATCTCACTCAACGAGGAACCGCCTTCCGGGCGGCGGCGTCTGTCACCGGGCTGCCTTTGGCGCGCCGCTAAGACAATGGCCGCTCCCACACGCACTTTCACCTCGCGATGACGAGGTGCTCGAGCGGCGCGGCGGCCAAATCCCCGCGAGTAGGATGGTGCCGTACTCACCGATCGGATGCATGACGCCCAGCCCCAGGGTGGGGATGAAGGGCACGCCGTTGGTGTGCAGCACGTCCACGAAGCGGGCGTCCCCCGGGGCGACGCGCACCTCGGCGGCCTGGTCCTCGAAGGCCGGCTGCGCCGCGTCCAGGGCTGCGAGCAACGGCAACATTGTGGTGTCATTGATTGACAGTGTACCTCTAAAAGAAACAACCGCGCCATACAGCTGCTGCTCCTTAAGTACGGGAGGAGGCGGGCTTCCGCAAGTCGCCGGTCGACCTCCGCGCCCCGGTCGAAGGTAAGTCCGTAGTGCGCGGCTGGGCCAAAGGTGTCACGGACACAGACTACTCCGCGGGTCAGAGAGAGAGAGAAAAGGGGGGGGGGCAGTCAGAACGCCCGGGCATGCTGAGTAGGCTCCCATATCTCCCCAATTTCTACACGCTCATTTCGTCCCATTACATCGTTTGAGCGCTTCCGCCGTTCTTTCGCCGGTTTGATATTGATGAGAACCAGCACTACTTTTCCTAAAGTCGCACGCAAATCGCTCGGGTTTACCGTGCATTTTTGCCCAAATGACTGTGGCGGAAGCGGGTCACGCACACGCAACCGCGGGTTATCCGCCCCGCATCGCCCCATCGCCCCGCCTCGCCCCGCCTCACCGGTGATCCTGCCCAGGCGGCCGCCCAGCTGCTTGCCCGCGTAGCCCGCCGCGTGCGCGCCCAGGCTGTGGCCGACGACGTGCACCGCGTCCAGGGGGATGACGTCGTCGAGTAGCTCCACCATCCTGTCGAGAGGAAAGACGGAGGAGAAAGGTCAGTCATTCTAAAACAAAAGTTGGTGTGATGAGGTTCGAAAACCTAAACAGTACGGTCTCGTTCGCTACCTCGCCAGCTCTGCGCCGACGATCCTCGTGTTCGAGGCGGCCTGCAGGTAGTTCCGGGAGGCTTGCGCCCCCGGCGCCCAATCAACCAGGATGACGTTGGAGTTCACCTGAAATCATGTGCAGAGTCAGAGCATGTCCAGGGTGTTTCATATATAAGACACAGGTGCGTGCGGGTTTGCCTACCCGCTCTGCCCGTGAGGCGCCATGGCCCCATGGGTAGGCAAACCCGCCCGCACCTGTGTCTGCAAGGTCAATGTCTTCGCCTGGGTCAATCACGATTCACGCATTTAGGGAGCGGGCGTAACACTCACCCTCTCGAGCAGCGCGTCCTTCATGTCCTGCACCCAGGCGGCGCTGTACTTGTCGTTGAAGCCGTGCACGACGTAGAACGTCTTCACGTCTCGCAGGAGCGCGCGAATGTTCGAAACTGTATCGTTGGCGGCAATGAGCGGCCACGGCTGCTCCGTGGCGTTCCTGGTGTACAGGAGGAACTGGGTCTGGACGTCCTCGGGCGCGTTCATGCGTGGCAGTGGGCGCTTGGACGATATCCACGGCTCGAGGAGGCTGAAGCAGCCCAGCTCCGGGTAGCAGACGTGGTCCGCGTCGTCGTCCTGCTTGCCGCCCTTGATGACCTGGAGGACGGTGCCGACGGCCGAGTTGACGGTGGAGCCGACGACGCTGTCCGAGATGGCCTTGCCCCAGCGGCCCACCGTGCGGCCCATCTCGGTGAAGGCCCTGCTCGCGCCCCGCACCCGCTCCAGCGCCGAGCTCATGAAGCTCTGCGGCGCCGCCACCTTCTCCTCGGCCTCCGCGTCCTCGGCGTCGCCTCTCATGTCGGAGGTGGCCTCCGTCTGCGCAGGACACAAAGGTGAGTCACTCGTGCCACTCGTGCACAATGGTGCAGTGCGCGCGGCCCACAGTTGGGCTGCTTGCTTACCTCGAGGTCCGGCTGCTGCGGCACGGCCGCGCTGGCGGTGGGCACCGAAGAGGCCGTGGCGGAGGCCAGCGTCGTGCCCGTCAGGTGCCACAGGCTGGACCTCACCGACATGAACACGTTGCTCACCTGCGGCAAGCACGGCGTGTGGCCATACGTAGAGCACAAGTAAACCGTCATTGGGGTCCTTTCGAGATCCGTCAGAAGCCTCTGTTATTTCACCTACCCGGTCGGAGACGTGCTTGGTGACATGGCCCAGAGGCGATATCCTCGTGGGCTCGACGGCTAGGTCGGTCTTGTTGGTGACGTCCGTGTCGCTGTCAGCCAAGTGATGAGGTCGTGAGAAATACGCACACTGTGTGCGCTCACGCACCAAGAGCACTTTCAGGCAAAGGTCTCGTTACCTCTTAGACTGCGCCGCCGAGGCCGCCGTCGTGTCCCGGATGGCCCGCAGCACGCCCCACAGGTTGTTCGGCCAGCCCGCCGACCGGTCCGAGGCCTGCGCGTGGTCCGTGGGGAGGCCGAGGCCATGGTCGGCCAGGAGCAGCAGCACTAGCAGCAGCACCGCCGTCCTCATGGTTCCTGCGGCGGGGATCGAATGTTGCTGTTGGTGAGCGCCATGGTGGCCGCCGCTCCGCTCCACGCCTGCCCCCTCCCCCCATTCCCACTTCCCATTCCCATCGTTTTTAGGTCCCCGCGCTGACGTCCACGGGGAGCAGCATGATTAACTCGCTTAGCCCGACTGGTCTTCGCGACAGCGAAGGGTAAAAGAAGAATTATTTTTTTGGTCCGACTCCTCTTTGCCGAGGTGCTGGTGCCCGCCCTCGCCTCAAGGACCCCAAGGACAGCCCGCCGCAGACTACTGTCTCTGTGCAAACATGCTCCGGGTCCTCTCTATCGGTATCGGGGTGGAGGAGGCGGTGGAGGTGGTGGTGGGGTGGCTCGGGACCCTCGCCGTGCCGTGGGACAAGGTCTCGGTGCGGTGCCGTGCACGCGGGCGAGGGCGTGGGGCGGCGGGGCGGCCCGTGCAGTGTAACGCCTATGTCGCCGAGGTAATGAGAAAGTGACGAAGTGCGTTTCGGCAATGCTCTCCGCTGCAGCGTCGGCGCCGCAGCGGTGTCAGCCGCTCGGCGGCACCGCACCCAAATCTCCTCACCCTCCCACACTCTTTCGCCCGCATTTAACACGTATTATTTGGCACGCTTGGCTCGTGCTGCGTGAGAAGGATGCTCATATTAACGCGCGCTAATTTACTCATTCACACGCATTCACACTGGCAGAGCAGATTAAGACGGTCAGTGGGCGCCCGCGCGGCCCGCCGCCCTGACCCGGGCGGCATACTCTGCTTGCAGCCGCTTTAGTCGAACCGAACGGGGACCGAAGCCGAACGGGGCCGAACGCGTGCCGAACGTGTGCCGGTGCGGCGATAAGTACCCCGGGGATAAATAATTGGCTGAGCGATTAGCGAAGCCTATTACTCCAGTGACGATCAAAAAGTTTCGCGTCTGTCTGTGTGTCTGTGTGTGTGTCTGTGTGTCTGTCTGTGCGCACGATAACCCAAGAACGAATTGAGCTAGCGACCTGGGATTTTCATGGTCGTTTTGTATCATAAAAAGACAGATCGAGTTCGAAGAAGAGCATTCTAGCTCAAAAATTGGATTTTTAAAAATTCAAAAACCACAGGTCCCCATAATGACGATTTTTTAAAATATTTTTTCACTGTTTTCTAAGGGGTAACTCATCAAAGTAGAGCCCTTCGGGCGAAAATTTTGTCTATTTGTCTCTATTTTCAACCGTTTAGGCACCAGAGGGATTTTTCTACACGAAAATGACCGCAAAACATTTCTACGATTTTTCTCAGATATTTGATGGTCTCCGGTAGAGTAACTTGTTAAAATTAAACTCCGAGGAACAAAATTTGTGACTTTTGGGGCTGAATGCCTACTTAGACTTTTCCTCGACTCGGGTGTCAGCGCCGCAGGCCTAGGTAGATGTATGCCAGGCGCGTCGCAGCGTGACAGTGCTTCGTGAGATATCGCGAAGCCTGTTACGCGAGACGTGGTCTGGCGTACATCTACCTAGTAATGTTAAGCACACTCCGCCACGTCTCGTCTGTCTGAGCCGAGCCGCGGCGGGGAGTCGCATGCCGCTGATGTCACGAGCGCCGTCATTAAATAACCGTGACCGGGCCATGCCGGGCCGCTACGCCAGGAGCAGTCGTCGTCGCTGTACTGACATCGAACGAACAAAGTTTAAACCGTCAAACACAGACCTATTTGATACGGTAACGACTTGAATGTATTTAAATAAAATAAAAATATTATTTAGGACAACTACTTTTTTCGGCAGTGGTGCAAAATCGTTTGTCTGATAGGGACATATTAATGCAGATACCTCGTGTCAATCCGTCCATGCTGCACTTACTCATGCCTTTTATCCCCAGTAGAGGCTTCCCCCTGCCACACCTACTATACTACTCTATTTGAAGTTGGCGCGCTGCGCGGCGCTATTCGCGGTTGCTCCTTATCGGTCGCGGCGGTCGAAGCTTATCAGAAGTTGTTCAATGTCTAGCGCCGCGCGCTATCCTCGCGTTAAAATGCTCACTGTGGTATTACAAGTATTATCAAGTTTGATAAGAAAGTAGTCCGTGGGATGTGCGTCGCACGATGGACGGGACCAAAACAGAGAGGGCACGTTTCTCATCAATTGTCCCCCTACCCCCGATAAAACGATCCGCGGTCGGGTCCACTAAAATTTATTCACCTAGAAATTACGTCCGTTATTTGCCGCGTTACGAAACTGCGAAGTTCAGCCAATGGAAGCTCTCATAGCGCCTAGCGGGTAGGCAACATCTTGCCTGCAGTGCATGCGTGCACTGCGGGGCGGCCTAACCTAAGCCTCGCATGCGCCCAACTCCCGTTGATAACTGAATGACTCTGAGAAAAACAGACGTACTTATAGACGATTTCTCTGATATTCTCCCAGAACATTAGAAAATGATGACTGAGAAGATAACTACAAATTTCAAGTCTCTAGCTTCTAGCCTTCTTGTGGAACAGACTGATAGAGAAGCAAACAGATGCCAGGTCGTTTGCATAAGCCTCCGAGACAGCATTTTCAAAGCTGAGTGGTGGGCTTAAAACCAAAAAGTATCAAAAAGAGGAAAGTGGAGCGACCAGTAATCCAAACGATCGAGAAGCCGCTTCAGCTTCACCAGCCTTTGGCCCCCAACCAGCAGAGCATAGGCAACCACCGTGACAGCCGTGCATCAAGTTGCCTACCTAACAGGCGCTTCGTCGCTTAAATAGTACTTTCTATACGCCCTCATCTCTCTACTTGTTTTAGCTTTCAATCGTCTTTAGAACTCAACTAACTCCGTCGATATATTTTATACCGCAAACGTCAATCAAGCAAAACTTGGACATGGACCTTTGGACCTTACAGACGTCCCCTTGCAACAGTGATCTTCCAATCAATCCCCTCTTAATCCAAACCGTGCCCCGCCAAGTCCCGCTGCACCCGCATTTCATCTCGCGGCCCTATGCCATCCGCTGCGCTGCGCCCGGCCGCCCGGCCCGGCTCGCGGCTGGAGTGGGGGATGGCAGGCGCACCGCGGGGCGGACCGGCGCGGGCCTCTTGACCTTGGAGGGGTAAGGGGGGGGGGGGGGACAGCTGTATGGGTGAACAGCGGACCGGACGATCCATTCCAGCGCGCCGGAAAGTTTTTGAATGGATATATGGCTGAGTTTTGTGGGAGAACGCGTCGTCAGGGAGAGAGAAAGAGAGCGAGACAACAACAGATAGGACAGACAGACAGACAGACAGACAGACAGACAGACAGACAGACAGACAGACAGACAGACAGACAGACAGACAAACAGACAGCACCGTTGTTTCTCTGACCACACAGGGGTTTTACAGCTCGTCGGGTAACGCCTCTTGACCGGGCCGGCTCCATAACGTCTCGCGAGAAGCGTGTCATTACAGCAACTCTCTGTCGCCGCGACCCGTATTGTTTATTTGCTCTCTTTCTCTGACCCGACTGAGGCTGTCTCTCCCGGCACCTTGC